ATAAATCACAGACTTTGTGAAAGGGCTACAGAATTTAAGGTGCATCACAACCACGACACAACTCCTGCTCAATCCCATGACTTACAACTGGATGAGTATTCCAAGAGGAGAACATCTCCCACCTTCCAGCCTGTTAGGCCACCACTGGGAAAAAAACATTAGTCTGGGCAGCTTGTATCAGTGAATTTGTTACAGGTAAGCTCGTCAGGGAAAAATTTTGAATAGGAATGGATCTTTACTGGTGGTACATTCTCATAGATGTACCACCAGTAAAGATCCATTCCTATTCTCAAGGGTGATGTAGTGAGCAGCATAACTGCAAATATCTTAAACCTCTACCAATTAACTAAAGTATTATTATTAATAAAGATTTCACTAGGACCAAAACTGACTCAATGAAAAACCAAAGGCATACTCCCTCTGACAAAGTCAAAATGCAAAATATTTGGACCAAACATATTTCCTATTCGGGCTGAAATGTTTGCATGTTTATAAAGGATACATGGCAAAAAAAAAAAAAAAAGAAATCAGCATTATTATTGGTTATAGATAAGTCATCACTGACAAAACGTAAGCAGAGGACATAGACATTAAAAAGATACAAGACAACAAATTACAAACAAAATTTCTTTGGAACCTGAGGATAGTTGAACAACGAGTTTGAGGACTCAAAAATAACACATTAAAAACCCCCTGAATATTAAAAACCTCAAAATGCAACATTTTTAAACTTTAGTTCCCCTTTTAGCTTTTTTTCAGGCTTACTTCCTTTGTTTTATGACTTAAAGCAAATGTAAAGTTTTTGCTTGAGTAAGGATAATGACAGAAACAGCAAAAAGCTTCCATCAGAAGAATTCTGCAACTCAGTTGTCAAGTATTTTTCACACTCCCATTCCCAAGAGCAATTACTTTAACTAAAACACTGACATTTCCTTCTTTTTTTCTCTAGAATGACAAAGATACTAACAAAGTATCAGGGTTCCATTCTGAAGGCTCTGAGGTTTGGAAATTTGCTTTTTTTCTTGAGCCTAAATGATTTTCCTTTGAAGGAAGAGTTTTGTGAATGTGACAGGAACAGTCTTGTTAAACACGTTAACTTGAGCAGAAAAGCCAACTTTTCTGCTGTAAGTTTTAACTTAAATGTTCTAAAAATAATGAACAGAGATGACAACAATGGTTTGCTTTTGCAGTCATTAAAACATAGTTTAATGATCAAAGTTAAATTTCATTTTCTCATGTTGTTTTAAAGCCATATTAAAACTCTGATACTACAATAAACAAAAGTTACAATCCAAACAGTAAATATAGACCAGCTGGAATTAAACTTGTAGCTACCAACTCAGAACTTCACTAGAAATCCAAAACTACAGAAGCTTGTTTATTATTGCTGTATTACAAGCAATTTCAATAGAAAGAGCTTTTGATTTCTAAAATTGTTAACAGTTCTCTAAAATGAGATCTGCAAATTTATTACATTTTTCTCTGTGCATTCACAGCATCTCACTTATCAAGGCAGTAGCAAGTGTATCATCTGTATCTCAATACAGTATCAAACACTAGAGCCATAAGTTAGCCACCAACTAAACCCATGGATTCTAGAAAGAACCTGCATGGGCTACACCTGGATTTTCTGTATAACAGCTATATAAAGATTAGTGTGCAGGACTGCACACAAGGCATCTATCCTGGATCCTTAAAATAAGGACTAAAGATGACTTTTTTTTTTTATTTCAATAGGAAACTTAGGAAGTTTTTATAGCAGGTGAAGTGAACCTACTATAGTACTTCAACATTACAAACGCACAAACCTATTTTACAAAAGAAAAAAAAGTATTTTGCAGCTATACAACACAACTTTTCACATTTTATAACTATGTTAAACAGAGAAGAACATTTCAAGAGAGCCATGTGTTCTGCTAGTTACTACTGGAATGCAGTTTACTCAATGACTTATTAGCTATTTTGGAAAATGAGTATCCGAATATAAAGAAATGCCAATTTAAAATGAAAACTGTGAACAGGTTTTCAGGACCAATAAATAGATTTCTGTTGCCTAAGATTTGAAGCAGGAACCAAAAATGCTAACAAACCAGAGAATTCTACATTTTACAAGAAAAAATAGCCAAACAGATATACAAAAATACCTGAGAGACAATTGCAGTAACTTTCTGCCTGTCCAAGTTTTTATCCCGTGTTAATAAAACAGAGAATGCTAGAACAAACCTTCCACAAAGGAAATGTAACATAAGCAGACAGCAGTTGCTAGAAATACTGTAACAGCTAGCTTAGTAAAAAAAACCAACTAGTTCTCAGTAGAAGATACCAATCAGTTCTCCTAAATTCTAAGGGGTGGGAGCCAGAAAATTAACTTAGTTTGCTAATATGGGAATGTGAGAGCCAATGCATAAAGGTGATTTGTTATCAATTACTGCATGCCCACAGGGCACATGGGGATACATTCCCTCCTAGCATGAGTGTGGAGCCTCACTATTATCAGTGGGAAACTGCAGAAGGCCAAGAAAACTTTCTCCAACCCCCAAAATCCTCATCTGAGGACCTACAGTTAACTAAACTACTTCTGTTTAACAGCATGGGAATCTCCACATTCCAGAAAGCTGAACTAGCAGAATAGGACTGCAGTGTAAAGGAATAAGAAGTCATGAATGCTAGAACATCAAAAAAGCACAACTGTAGGCACTGAGGAAATGTAATTCTTCCCCAGTACACATTTAATTCAACTCCAGGGATTCACACAGGTAAGTCTGTTCCATCTCAACAGTGCCTACAGGGAGATTCAGCTCCTGGAAGGTTGGTTCAGTCGCTGCTGTCTGATGTCATGCCATCACTCTTGGCAAGCACTCTGAACAAAGATGAGTACACTATAAATGAAAAGGCCTCAGTATTTCAACAGTGACTGCCAGCTTCTGGAGGAAAACCAATAGTCAGAGCTACTTGGTTTCTTCTCAGTCTCTCAAACCAAAACAAAGCTTTGTTAAGACCTGAAGATACAATCCTAACTAACAGTGCCTCCAGACTGATGTTACACATCCCACAGGGGAACACTGCAGGGACAGTTAAGTAAGTGCCTGACACTGAGTATCCTCACAAACAATCAAGTTCACATGCAAGTAAAAAGAAAGTGAGTGATCTCTGAAGCAAAGGCCATGGGATTAACTCATTATCAACAATCTAACATCTGCACCAATCAAGAGAAAATAAACTACATTTTGTGTCTGTCTGGAGTAGAGCCACAATCTGATGACATGTGACTGCACAGTATTTGTACACTTTCAAGCAATTAGTTCAAGAGACTTCCCTCTAAGCACTCTTCTTTTAAATTAGCACTCACTGTAAAATTTACTCCTTGAATCTTTGAAGCACAATTAAAAACAGGCAACTCACATTTGTAAACAAAGTGCAGATTTAAAAAATACAGGCTTAGGACTAAATCTCCAGAATCCTGGCTCAAATGTGTGTTTCCTGACACCAAGAAGCAAGGCTCCAACAGAACATAATCTTTCTTTGGTACCTTCAGAGACTAAACTTAATTAAAAAACATTTACTATGTAAAAATTCTTTCATGGAAATGAATTGGCCTTGATGAGCCAAGATTTTTGTGATAAATTTGTATCAATGAGATCTAAAATGTGAAAATTAAACAGAACTGGACAGATGTGTTTAGTGGTACAGACTTGCTCAGAAACATGAGAACCTAAAACAAATTAATACTTTCCCCTTCAAAAACAGGCTGAGCTCTACATGTCTCCAAAACAAGGGTATACTTCTTTTGATACTTACTGGTAAAACAATCTACTACACCTGCTACAGCAATAAAGTGTTAAAAAGAGAAACTATTAAAAATATATTTGTGTACATTTTTCTACCTAGCAGAAGGTGCAAAGTCACTTGAGGAAACTGGCAACAAAGACCTAACACATGGCATCTCCTTTCCTAACAATTTCAAACAGCATAAAACCAGAACTGGAGTCCAACTCTCTTCCTGAACAACACCATAAAGTATGACTGAACACCAGAAGAAATCTTAAAAGACATTTACATATCATACATGGATTATTCACTGACTACAGTGTCTGTTTGGCAAGACCTCTGAATGATTAAAAGGAAGAAAGTACCAACAAGACAAATCCACACAAAAAGAAAACCCCCAAATTACTACAAAACAGGTAAAGTTGAATAACTCAAGGATATTTTAGATAGAAAAAATAAAGGCTTCAGTGCTACAGAAGCAATAAGCCATACCTTGCAATCCTCTAAACACAGAAGCTGCATTTTCAATCTTTGGGGAATCTGATTTTGTAATGAATAGAAGGAACCCTAGGAGGTGAGAAGCAAAAACAAAAACTAAACTAACAACACACCATGACCAAACCCCAAAATTATTTTCCTGAAATCAAGGAAAAAAAGTAGTCCTTCATCTCAATTTGTGATACTTCCAGGGAGTTCCTTATTTTCATACAGACAACAGAAAACCCCAAAGAAGCAAAGAAATTTTCATTGCTTTTTCTAATTCAAGTAGCCAATTCATTCCTTTTTCTATAGCTAAAAACATACCATAAAACCAAATGCATATGCAAGAAAATTATTAGAACGAGAACAAATCATTATTCAACTAGGGGTCCAAATTTTATTTTAAAAAGTTATTACTCCAAACACTAAAATGACACACAAGTAAATTACCTTATAAAAGTAGAGAATACTGATAGCAAGAAAAATTAAGCTAGACAAATAATTTTGGAATGGAAATGAAATTCACACAGATTTAAATAACTAGATTTATCCACAGTACAAAAATGCTGTATGTGGCAAAAGGGCTTCAACTTCATAACTAATGTATCACTAAGTTTATGTAACCCAGAAATTAAAAGGTGACATTATCTCTTTAGTAGATGTATACTGGTTTTCAGTCTGGGTTAGTAACTGGAATATATACAGCAGTCTGTGTTTCAGAAATCACTCTCCTGTCCTGAAACAGGGTTTTTATCAAAAAAAGAAATGCAGAGACAAAATTATTATTTCATGTGTTTTTACCTGACCAAACTACAAAATTTCAAGCTATTTCTTGACAAAAAGTAGTGGTATTTTAACTGGGGAACCTGCAAGGAAATGTCAGAAGTTAGGAATAACATACCCTCCTCCCTGTGACAGGTATTTTAGCAAAATACATATCTAAAAACCCCAGTGTTTTACATCTGTAGAAGGTAGTGTAAACTTTTATCTTCCATTCTGTAATCTTTTCTAGGATGAAACTGATGACTTCATGCACACTGAGGTTTCAGACTCACAGATGAATGATGCAGAACATTTCTTCTCACAGAATGCGACCTCAATTCCTAAAGAGAGGGAAAAATGCTGTGTTGTTTCTTCCGTTCCAAAGTGTGTCCCATTTGCTGCATTAATAATGCTTCAATGAATAGTTACAGTCCACTATTGCATCAGCTGCACAGATTTGGTTCAAAAAGGAAAAACAGATTTTTCTTATGCACCTAGGTCATGAAGCCCACAGTGGCAGAAAATATCCTCCTTTATTTACAAGCATGCAATCTTAGAAAGAATTCAGAATTATTTTACTGAAAGAAAATAACCCAGTTTTGTTCGTTTATCATACAGTCTTACTAAAGGATGTCAAGGTATTAAAGCAATTGTATCCTCTTTATAATTGGATAGGGAAAATTTATTTTTACAAAGTATTCTTTGAAAACCTATGTAATCAATTCTGTTTTTTTTTTTTCCTTCAGCATTCTCTGTAGTGTAGATTAGAGCAGTGTTTTACTATGGGTACTTACAATAATGCTGACATTAAGTTTTTAGTAGCTGACACATAAAACCTGAACTAACAACCTGAAAGCTCTTTTATTTGTAAACTGAGAAGCAATGGACTGTGTTTACATAATTTTTCAGTGGATGCCACCAACTGCTGACAAAAGGATGGCAAGATGCAGAAAACACAGCTACCATTTTAGGTACTGGCACAAACAGATTTTAGAATACTTGCACTATTCTGTTTCTTCTTCCAAAGATGAAATTCTCTTACAGTCCCCCTATCTCAGCTGCTCTATATCCCAAAGGTACACTGTCCTTGCCTTGACTCTTTACTTAACTATGTCATATGACAGACTCAGACTGTCCTTTTTTTCTAACCTTACTTCTTAGGCCAGGCCTTTTCATCACTAACTTTTTTGGTTTTTTAAATTTAAGTTTTTACTCTCCCTTCTGGCTCTGATGGTTTCCTAATACAACCAGCTGCAGCTCATACACCTCTATCAGGATATCCAAACCACTGTAATCTCAATATAACATTCTCTTTTCATCAGTTACTGACTCCCCATCATGTTGTGCACTGCTTTTCAAAAGTTCCATGCTTTTCAGTTTTCATATCCACTTTACAGGATTTCAACCCCAATGTGCTTCTCTTTTTCTTTAGTTTAACTCTTATTAGTATAGGTAGGGCACAAACATATTCTCTTTGTCTACTGAGAAAATTAGGCTCAGTTTTACACTGGTAGGCTTCTAATATTTGTTTAAAAGCCACAGCTGGGGGGAAATCATACAGGCACATCTTAACGTACAGCAAGGCCCTGCTACAAATCAGCGAGCTGTTTAAAGGCTATCAAGTCAGAAATTGACACTAATTCTAAGATGTGCAAAACACATGTTCTTCCCTAGGCCTCCTTTCATCAAAATCCTTATTTTTTAAAAAGTGTAAGCAACAAAGAGGCAGCATTTTCACAGTAAAAGCATGCTTGAGCACCTGCCAGAGTGCACCTTCCCTATAAACACAAGCTACCGGAAATTGCACAAAATAGGGAGAAAAAGGGAAGGAGTTGTCAAAAGGGAATTAAAACAGATTTCAGAAACAAAAGAATCATACATTGGAAGTACAGAAAACTGCATTCTTACTGAAGGAAAACAATCCAAACCCATACAAAACTTAGGCAGTTTAATTAAAATGATGGAGTTTACATATACATTACCATCCCAGGAATGAATGAGACTGATATATAGGGTTTGGTTTATGAAGAGAATTATCAGCAAGCATCAAACTGCAGGAAGCAGGCAAGTGATGCTGCAGACTGTGCTAGAACTGAGCACGTTTTATTATTCACTAATTCATAAATAGCAAGCATTGCAATGAAACAACTGACCCCAAATGCCACAACTGGCAGCTGCTAGCTGTTATGGTGATGATGGATCTCAGCCACACAGGAAAGACTGGTCACAAAAAAGAAGAAAAAATAAATTAATCAGTAAAGATAGACTAGAGTGGCCCAAATGCTTAAATAGTGAATTCTCTATAGGGTCATCAAGTAAAGAGAAAGCAAAAGGAAAAAACTCACCGAAATGAAGTAAGAGCAAACAAACAGAAAAGAGAAGTTTGTAAAGAGGACACAGAATGAAGTAACATGAGAAAAAGCATGCATTCCCTGTACTTCTCCATGTTAATATCAAATTAGCAAGTGGAGTTTAAAATAGCCATTTTTGAGGCAACAGACCTAGCTGCAGCTAGTGACAAGTCCCTTGGCAATCATATAACTAGAAGTTTAGATTCACATTTCTTAGACTAACATATCTATAAACAAAAGGCTTAGCCTCTTTCAATTTCACTTACCTATACAGAAAATATGCAGCAATATTTTTTGTTGTTTCAGATGGAATATCAGACAATAACATGCAGTACAAGCATAAAATAACTAAACTTTTCCCCAAATGATTACACCAGAACTCTTATGAAAGACATGGTTTACATAAATCTACTTGCATGTGTATCTATACAAACATTTACAAACACATGTACATTTATATGTATTATACACACTGAACACAAATCTTCCCCTATTACTCTTAACTGCAGAGAAAAACAGTGTGTTATGTTGAGTTCAATTTACAGAACACTCACCATGCAAAGGCCATCATGCACCCTTATGATCTGAATGCAAGGACCCACGAACTATAGCACAAAACACACTTTACTGCCTGGTACTGCTGATGCCACCCAAAAACTCTGCTTGACACAAACTATGGGAAAGGCAACAACTGCAACAGACTAGAACCATGCCTACTGCCAAAGAGGACACTGCAGCTCAAAAGGGTAGATAATAAATAAAAAGCTAAAAGCATGAAATAAAACAAACCCTATGCACCCACTCAGTCCATGTGCCAGAACCTTTTACACTTTGCTCACTCTGTAGACTGCAATTGTGTGCTCAGCTCCTCAGGGGTCTCCCCCACTACACACAAACTATACAACTAACATTTACCAGGCCAGTGTGTCAGAACTTCAGATAAACACCTCACAAAACCAAACTTAATTCACAGATATTTGTCCTGGGCCTGAAATCAAAGATCACAAATGTCAATCCTCGCTCAAGGTTCCACTGTTACTGCAGCCCAGGTAACTTTTACTACCAGACACTATTTAACATATACTCTTTGGAAGAATCTAAACATTCATCTCCATATTAGAAGATGATATAGGACCTGAAAAATACAGTAGAGATAAGAAATCTTCTCACTTCCTAAAAAAGATGTGTCACCCAGCAGCCTTTGAGAATGAATGTCAGCCTTATCCATTTGTATAGATGGGAATATCTGAAGTCACCTCCACATGCTCATCAACAGAGCATGCTATTAACTGCCAAAAGAATTAAGCTTAAAGTCAATATATTCAACATTATTAGCAAACACACAAATACAGGGAGGAGATTAGCATTTTTGATTTAAACTTGATCTTGAATACCAAATTTGGATCTCAAAATAATTTATAGTTGGAAGTTGGAATATGTTGTTTTCTAATTTTCATTTAGCATTATTAAAAACTTTGTACTAAAAACCAGCATTTTGTTGATGTAACTCAGTAGTTACTACTATTTGTACTGATGGTAGAACAGAGAGAATGGTGTGCTGTGAGCTTCATTTCAAAGCTGTAAGAAGTCTACAACTGACAAAAATATCTGGATACCAGCTGTAGCATCCCACTCTCACCCCCCAACTTACAGCTCCTAGGGCAAAGCCCAGCAATTGCACTGGGAGTACACAGTGCAATAGAGGCAATTAGCAGATTACCTCCAAGGCACAGTCATCACTTCAGGCATTACTACTGCCCCGAGTTGGCAGTTTTCAAGCAGCACATATTTGTTGGGGTATTTTAAGTAGACTACAGCCACCAGGCCTTCTGCAGCTGGGGAGCAGGTGGTAATACCACAGCCACTTGCCTAACACATAGCAGTGTGCTGACAACATTTGCCTTTTTCAATCATTGGTGAGAGCTCAGCCACACTGCCACACAATACAAGCTGATCACGTTCATTACCTGGGAAACTGGGTATGTGAAAAGGCAGTATGAAAATTTAAAAGGGAAAGTTATATTTTAGAACTACTAATTAGTAGTAGTTCTAGTACATGAAGCTAACTAAATAAATAAAACCTAAACAACAAAGATATTAAAAATTCAGCATCAACCTGTAATGAATAAAATTATTAGAATTCAGTAAGTCTTTGGAAAGGTTTAACTATCTGTGAATCTACTTGAGACTTGAACAGAGCAGAGTTTTTAATTCTAGGTAACTAGACTTCTGAGAAAACAGGAAAGAATGTGCAAGAAATAGAGGGCACTTTATTCCAAGACAACACTTGGATTACAGCCCCCTCTGCTGGAAATATCTACTACATATTGTTACACAACAGTCCAGAAAAATGCTAAAAATCAAAATAAGTTTAAGATATGTGGAAAACAGAGTTTCTAACATGACTTTTATTCATTCATATTTAGTCTTCCACTTGCAGCTGAGTAAACACCTTTCACAGAAGAGCAAGTGCTGTAACATCAAGTATAATTACTGACAACTTTAGATCTCTGTCATCAGGCAAATCAGTTCTGACATTATTTCATATAAGGCATCAACAGCCTTATTAATTTAGGCAAGAGCACCTTAAATTGGAAACCAAAAAAATCCAACAACTTGCACCAGGTGGCATGGAATAATATTCAAATGGTCTTTCTAAATCCAAACTGCACAAGAAAACACCCAGAGGTGACTGACTGGGACAGTTTTCCATTTTCTGCATTTCAAAATATCAACTCCTCATAACATGAGGCACTTTTCTAAGGCTGAAGTAATGAATATAAGGTCAAAACCCAGAGAAAGAAACAAGGATTTGTAACCATCACCTTAAAGAACTGAAAAAGGGTCACCATTTTCTCTTGACATGTTTCTTATTTGCAGTTTACTTTGTAGCTCAGTCTTAAAATAACTAGTCATGTTTTCACTTCTTAGCTTCCCCAAATAGTTCCAAAATAAGTAACATATTTGTCCCTTTGTAACAAAACTTCAATTGAAGAAAAATCTCAGTTTCTCTCCAGTATTTCCCATTTCCTTATGTACCAATCAAGTAATAAAAGACCTTCTCAACCATTTCCCTCTTGTCTTACTGTCACTGCTTCAAGAAAGAAGACAGCAATACTGGCATGCTTTCTGTAACTATCTTGGTTTGATACTCACAGCTGCAGGCATGGCTATGTGACTCTGGACATAGGGCTGGTGATGTAGTGTTTGAACTCCATGATCAGAATACAGCTGGCATTAAAAAAAAAAAAAAGAAGCAAAAAAGCTTGTTTCACAATGTTAAGTTTTTTAAGCCTTTCATAGAAATTTAGAATCCTTAAAACTTCAAAATGTGGGCTAAACTACTGACTTTTTTAAAAGCACAACTTTAATATTTAAATCTGTTTTCCCCACAGATTAGCAAAGTTCAGTAAACTTAGTTTATCTTAAATCACTGTCACAAATCACTTTCCTTGACAGAAGTAGCAGCTTCTCTATTACAAATTTCACTCGGCTCTAATGGGAACAGTGTTTAAATGTGTAGATTAGCACATTGAAAACTTAATTCCCAGCAGTATCATACTTATAAAATATTTACATACAAGTAATACTATTCTTGGAATTGTACATCATTCTTCTGAAACACCACACACTGTTTCCTTTAACGTGAATGAATTGCCTACCTGTAAACCAAGAGCACATTATATCCAAATATTCCTTAATTAATTTTATCTATTTTCTTAGTGCTCATGGTTTTCAGATCTCTGTATACACCTTTATATCAAAATCATGAAATAGTAAGGTAAAATAGTACTCTTAATAAAATTATGATTATAAAATAAATACCAAGATTCATGTACCTTCAAAAAAGAAGAAAAACCCCCATAACCCAAGCCTTTTATTATTCAGTAACTTTGTCAGGAAATTAAATTACTTCAGCATGTCAGAATTTTCCACTTCAGATGTCTGAAATACCAGTTTTGGAATTTTTCTTGTAGTAATAAAATACACATTTACTTTTGGAATTATACCTGTTTACTAGTATTAATAACTAGATGTCCTAATTTAACATCTATTTGGCCTCCCTGCTCATGAGGAATGAATATTTGAGAAGCATCAATTAATACCAATGTGAAAAAGTGTGTAATTCAGTTTTTCCTGTAGCCATCTGCTATAATTTTTAATATACAATCATGAAGAGATTGACTGAATGATTAAGTATTTTTTGCTTAGTTTTTTGATTCCATATCAGTAAAATTTCTAATGCTTAAGAAATTTTTGAAGTACAATAAAACACTCTTAATTAATTCAGATGATCAGAATATTTAGAAACAGGCTTCTACTCACAGAATAATTACTTTAGAAAACTATTGTGGTTCAGCGATATTCAACCCAAGATCCCAAATAACAAACTCCCATTTATTTAAACATTACTTGCAAACAAAACCAATTGTCAAGTCCTTATATTGCTGTCTGTAATACCTTTGTGACTCTAAAACATTTCAGAATCAAAGCATTCTCCTAGACAGGAAGAGAAGTTCAAACTTGAGGACACCTGGAATTATTTAACATCAACATAAGCACCAGAACAGTTGACCTCACTGCTCTAACAGCCAGTGTTTAAAGAAAAAGATTGTATTTTTCAATGACAAATAAGCACTTCAATTTTCAGTACACTTTTTTACATTTTTTAAAATACCTCAGGAACTGCAGCTTCCATTAGGAGAGGTGGAGATATACATCCACCTTCCTGGTTAATTCCTATTGGCTGATAAAAGACTTCAGATGGTTGCAGATACAGGAGTGGAGGTGAAGAGGTAAGAGACTGAAAGAAAACACATTATTCTTATAAATTTTATAATTTAAGCAGGATAAAGAGTTTAATTTACAGTCTTTTTTGCTACATATAAACAAAAGATAAACCTTTAAAATGAAGTGTCAAATTAATCTTTGATTACCTGAAAGAAACTAAGCAAGAGGGAATTAGACAGAAAGGTCAGGTAGTATGAGAAAAAAAATGCCCTTCAATTTTACATGATTTTTAGATTTTATTTACATTTTGGAGAGCATTGCAAAATGCTAAAATTTGTAAAATTCATATTTAATCTCAAAATCACAGAAACATATTACAGTTAAATTTTCCCTTGCAACACCATTAACCAGCAAAACAAGTTTTTTATATTAAAATAATTAGAGTATCTCCATAATTCAGCATCTGATTTCAAAGCAGTAGATTGATCTATTAGAGTGGAACAGACCATAACTGGACAAGGCTGGCTGCTATTAAAGTAATGACACTGATTGTAACAGCTTAAGCTTCAGATTCAAACTCTTCAAGTCCCTTGAGTGTCAAGATTTCCATATTAAGCTAGTCTGACAAAACAGATAAACTCTCCCAGAGGCTTCATTGTAACAGCTCAAGCTTAAGGATCTTGGTCCTCCCTTCAGGTTCAAACTCTTCAAGTCCCTTGAGTGTCAAGATTTCCATATTAAGCTAGTCTGACAAAACAGATAAACTCTCCCCACAAAATGACTAAGTCAACAATATCTTCTCCCTACTTCAAGGGCCTGGGTTTCATTTCACCCAGTGTGTGTCCACATACTCCTGCTAACTCTACCCCTATGAAATGTCACACTTATCAGTTAATTGTTAAGTTAATATCCATTTCTTTAATCAGGTGAAATTTAGTAGTTTTTACCTGCTTCTAAAGAATTTGTCAGGTAATTTGATACGAGTATTTTGCTAAATGGAAGGGGAGGGGAAGATGTTTTCTCTACATCAGGCTTACATTGAATGTTTCAACAGATGCTATTTTATGCCTTCCATTGTAGCAGTAATTGTTGACATACATTGCTAAAATACAGCAATTAATAGTAATTAATTTCAATCAAGTTGTGAATAGCGGGAAATCTCACTCTTGGATAAGCACAGCATACCTTTAAATTAGGTGAAAAGTAATGGTAAAATGCTGTAACTATGAACTGTATTTACCTGTGGAACAGACCACTGCCACTGACTTGAAAGACACTGTGTTGGTGCCTAAAATTGAACAAGAAGATGTCAGTAATGTGGTGAAGAACAAACACACATACAATACTACTATTCTGAAATCTGTAATTAATTCTTAACTAAAAGGAGGAAATATGATTTTCATTAAGCCCCAAATTACTCTGGAACATGGTTTTGTCTATTTCCACTCCACCTCGAACTTGACCATTTCATAAACTCCAAAAACACTGAAGTCAGGTTCTCCACAGAGGTGCCCAGAGCACATGAATCAGTGGACCCAAGCTGGACCACTAAACAACGTAGCTTTAAGGGAAAGGTCTTTATGATCAGAAGGGTCAAGCACAGGAAAAGGCTCTCCAGAAATGTTATGTGGAGTCTTCATCAATGGAGCTACTTAAAACCCAACTGCACAAGTACCCAAGCAATCTGTTCTAACCAGGCCTACTCTGAGCAGGAGTCTGGCTTAGATGATAAGCCAGTTGTCCTGCAACACACAAGAAAATGTAATTTATTAAACTTTCATGTAGTTACATAAGCAGAATAAACTGTATATTACAGAAAAGTCTTCAATATGTTAAAGTTAAAATATGTTTCACACTACTATTACAAACTATTTCCTAAGAATAAACAGACCTTGGACAGTGCTGCAAATAGTACTGCATGGCTGGAGGATTAGTGATGGTCTGAAAATCTTTTTCAAACAGATACCTGATAATGGTATGTAGGAGACTGATAAACAGGTGGAGCAACCATCACAGGTGAACTGGAAACAGAGCGAGACTTCAAAAGAAAAGAAGTTACAAATCTTAATGCAGCCATTTCATCAACTGTCACTCCTATTACACACAGCTCCAGAGTACTATGATACTGAACCACCCCCCTCCCTTTCAAAAATGATTCACAAAATTTTAATCTACAACTTAAACTGCTTCAAATCCAGTGTCTCTGACAGCTTATGTTAGATCAAACAAAAATCTCTGGCATACTCACTTACACCATTCTAGAAAGCACTAGGCCATCACTATCTAGAGACAGTAAAACTTATTCCTGGGACAAGGCCCAGACTGATTATGAACTGTCCTGCTCAATAGGTCACACCAAAGGAAAAGTGCTCTGTAGAAGCAAAATAAACTGAAGTGTTATTTAAAAAAAAAACAACCAAGCAACACAAAATAAAGTCTAATATAAGGAAGCAAATTAAACACCTAGCATGAGACATAGCTGAAGCAAATGAAGCAGAAGGGACTTGAAAACACTGCAGCTCTCTTGGTCCATAGAAAAGCATAAATACCACAATAAATTCCTTACTGGCCATGGCTGCTGAACAGGAGAGACTTCAGATGTATGAAAATAAGCCACTCCATTATGGTAAACATATGGATATCCACTTGAAGTGGTCAAGTACATTGTACCAGCTTCTGGTGATACAGCAGTAGCTGTGTACATGGTACCAGCTTGTGGTGTCACAGCAGAACCTGGAATAAATATTTAAAAACTTATTAGTAAATAACTTTTTTCAGATGTATACACCACGAAAAAAAGAGAAGATCACTTTTGATCTTCACAGAAAGAACATGGAGCAGCTTGTCTAATGCCATCTCAATTCCCTCTCAAACATGAATTAAACACAACACAACATGGGGAGATTTCCAGAGAGCAATAAAAAAAAAAAAAAGGGAAAGTTAATTCTGTAGCTGAAATCACAAAATAGTAACATAGTACAGAAAAAAAATCAGGAAGAACACAACGTAAACAACATCACTAAGTTTTGGTTTTTCATCTTGCCTTGCAAAGGTAAAAACCACCGTGAAGTGCCATTTTATGAACAGAATACTGCAGAGATCACCAGAACGCTCAGTGGATGACCAAGAAAGGTCCCACAGGGGTTAAAGAGCTTTTATTGATAGTGAGAGTTTGACTAATTCCTAGAAAAGCCCTAAGACAATTGGAGACAACACAGCTGATAGATTATGCATAGACAGGCTAAGATGTTTGTTAAGATAATGTTAAGCACACCTTAGGAAAACTAAAGACTTTTTTAGCTCCAGTAAGCAATCTAGAATAGCACTTCTTGGTATCTCAGATGAGGACATCAACACAATCCCACGGCCAACAATCCTGTCCACTAGCTACCAAGTAATTGCACAAACTTTCTGCTAATGTTGAATAAGTCTCTGGCAAAGAAAAAGGAAATCTTCCTCATCAAACACAGAAAATTCATTGATGAAAAAATACATTTTGATGCTGGGGCAAACCAAGTGGTTCTCCCAATTATGCTCAAAGCTCTCACCCCAAATGATCTTATGACAGAAGAGCTAAAAATAATTTTGCAGTATGAAAGACAAGCACTATATATGTGAGCTACAGAGGACAGCAGTTTATTGTCCAGCTCTCTAATTTTGTGGAATATAATGGAATCCACAGCTCTACAGTGACATTTTAAGTCCAGGTGTTCTGGCTCCATGAACCCAAGATGAGCTGCAGTAGGACAAAGCATCGTGGTGACTGAGATACACTAAGCATGAGAGCAGACATACTGAAACCAGGCCCTGGGATGTGTCTGGATGGCAATATGATCTTGTATCACAGATTTATCCTAGGCATGAGAGACAACAAGTCTACAAATAAAGATCTCAAAAGAATACAGCAGCTTTCTTTGAAAAGCCTTTTTTAAGGATTTTTGGTTTACCTCTCTGTTGCCTCATGTCTCAATTATAACACAGAGATATGTCTCTTTTCTATCAATTTACACATTTGCTACAAGAGTCAGAGGAAGGAACTCCCACAAGTCAGGCAACACAACTGAGAAGATACAAGTCAAAGATGAAAAGTGAAATAAAGCATAGCAAGAGAATGGCATACAATCTCATGATGATAACTGAGCAAAGATCATCCTGAATAATTTCTAGAGCAAAGAAATTGTACAGTTTGAACAAGGATTCCACTTTCCCAGGCAAACAATAACCCATAGACTTACACAAGGGAAAAGGGCATACTTGGGCACAAGCAGGGGAAGAGGAAAATTTCCTGTCTTCAGCAAGTGTGTCTGCACCAACAGCAGCAGTGTACATGTGAACCACTTCTAATAGAGCACAACACACTAAAGACAGCTTCAGGATTAAACCAACATTCTTCTGTATTCTGGCCTCAGAATGAAGATGAGCAAAAGGATGGGTTTTTCCTAACTGTTCCAAAAGGTACCACAGGACAAATACTGCAGCAAAGTCCCAAAGCACACTTCACTGCCTGCTGCAATGCTACTTAAAAAAGAATTCTACTTTACATTTCTGACACACAGCCCTTACTGAAGACAACTGACAGATCTCATCTTAAAAGTTGGTGATTTATAGCCTACATTTTCAGTATCCATTCAATAGCTTAGAACAAACAGCTCAAGAAGAGAGTGGGGACTACAACCACCCATTCCTCATGGTTTCTACCAAAGAAAGCAAGATGCAACAGTCCTAATGGGTTTTTAATAACACAAAATAATCAATGAATAACAATGCCACTAACCAGCAGAGCCTGCTTTATCCTGTAGAACCTGTGAGGACACACTGAATGTTTAGATTTAAGGTTCTGCCAGGCAACTTGAATTTCCATTCAGTTTGTTCCTAGATAGGTAACTCTCTCCAATAAAGTAAAAGAAACAACATCTTGAGAGATAAAAGAACCAACACACCATAAATCTATTTATTTCAACATTTCCACTGCATGTATTTGCTTCCACTGCAAATCATGCTGAGCACATGCCAGACACAGCATTAATGCAGTGTAAGACCAGGTACATCTTGGTTAAAAACATATTCATATTGACAATACACAAATACAAGTAAAAACACATACGAGCATTAGGACTCCGCACTTGTTTTCTTATTGCTGGTCCAATATTCAATTTCTTATCCTTATAGTTGAGCTTTTTAGCCTAAAATTAAAGAAATCAGACATTATTATTTTCTACACAAATCTAGGTATCTGAGAAGTGAGAAATAGCTTAGTAGGTTAGACACATTGAGCATGAGGGCAGTTATGTTGAAACCAGATGCTAGGATATGTCTGGAACCTGGTGAAACTCCTCAAGGTTTGTTTTTAATACTAACACACAGTTAGTAGACTGCAACATAAAAGGAACTTCTGGAAGCATCATTCAAAATAGAAGAGTAGGACAAAAGAAAAAAAAAATCAGAGGATGACCAGAATATTAAAATTTAATATTAAAAAAATCTTAGATCTCTTTAAACCATTTTAACTATCAGACCGAACTTCTCTTCAAATGCAACTTTGCAATTAGAGGATCAGAGTACTCAGGCCTAGTATGAAATTAATCAATTAATTTAAAAGACATAATGGGGACTGCCACTTACATCTTGTAAAATCTTCTGTGCCTCTTCTTGGGTTTCAAATGTAACAAAGCCATACCTAAACAAAAATAACAGAAGCCTCTAAAGTTTGTATTTACAAACACAGCACATAGTTACTTGATCTACAGTACAAGTGACATTACAAGGTAAATTAATGGGTAAAAAAACAACCTAGAAGTAAAGATTTAATTAAGTGCATTCTTAGCACCTTTTTAATTACATTCAAAGATGTGGCAATATACTACCATGAATGACCAGCTGTTCTTGTTACTCAACCTTTTTTCTGTTAAAAAAAGATTTTAATCTAAACCTTTCACTTGTTGAGGTGACCAAAGATGAGACACTTGACATTTTTTTGAAGTTAATATTATACAGTGATTCATAGTACAGCTCCCACCTACTTCAGCAACAACTGTGAATGTTCCCCACTGCCACAAGCACAATCCACTATTTTAAACTGAGTTCTCAGAAAAAGCAGTGATGCAGCCATTATCTGTGAATTCTCCTGTAATTCTTAACAGGATTAGCATTAAAGAGTTCTGTGGAGATCAAGGATGAAGCAATTCTCATACTTTGTGACATAGTGTGTCTTTTACCATACCTATTAACTGCTGCAATAAATCAAACTTTCCACCCCGAACTCCTGCTTTTCCAACCCCCTCAATTCATTTCCAGAGTAATCTTGGTGGCACTGTCAGTGCCAAGTAAGTATCCAAAAGTATACAACACATAGATAAGAAAACCCAAAAAACCTTGCTCCTCCCTCTAATAAATTTGATGTCCTAAATTTCAAATAATTGTAAAATCTGTGAAATGTGTATTTCTGTGAACATGATTTGTTATTATTGTCATTTCTCAGGGTCACATTACAGAAGGTATGAGCTTCTGTCCCTCCTGCCAGCAGATCAGATTTTCCAATACAAAAGGTTATCATTCTTTGTGAGCATTTGTATGCTGATTTTAATACAGAACTTGAATAAATCTGACCAGCTGTACTTTCAAATTTGTGGGCTTTTCTTGTATTGGCTTCTCTAAAGCAGAAACATTTCCAAGTTCAAAGAAGACAAAGTATTCTCCTCCTTGGGCCCTTACCTACAGAGACTTTTCTTTCTGTAGACTGTCTGGACAATAAACTAATAGATGTAATCACAAACTTGTAAGTTTTTAAAATCAAGCTCTTGTCAAGCAGAAGCAAAGGATCTTATGTTTGGAGTTCAGCAGAAATCCTAACAGCATGGCAAGTAATTATTTTCCAACATACCTGCTGTGAGACATACGTTGGTAATCACAACTGCATAATTATTATGGGTTATATGGACACACATACACTGCAATTCTCAGATACTTCTTGGAATTTAGTAAAGGGACAAAAGGTGTGGTGACAGATCTGGGACCAAGTCTCTGAAGTCATGCAAGTGCACTCTGTGCTAAGAGCTGCAGTTAAGCACAACTTGCTGACACATATTAAGCTCTGACAGCATTAAAGCTGTCCTTACTCCTCAGGAGAGAACTTTAGAGGTGAACTCTCATGCACATTGCTTTTTGCTTCAGCCCTCTTTCCTCCCTTTGCTGGCAGTGCACTTCCCCACCTTATTGACACCACCATCCTTTGGGTTACAGCAATGATTTTACTATGCAATCTTAATCCTTCTTTGTATTTGGTCTTTGCCATTTCTCCTACTGGTGACTTCCAGTCTCAGTCTCCATTGTAAGTAACCATGATTTAGTATCAGATTTGTCCCCTATGCTGCTGGTCCAGAAATCTTCACACAAAAATCTGTTACTGCCATGCACTCCACCACAATCAGGTGTATCTCAGCTCTTCCTCCACTTTAGGCTCCTTTCCATATGGGTTTTCAGTAACAGAAATATATTTAATAACTAAATAACCTTGCTAGGATAATCTACTTAAGTAATAGGCACTAAGAAAACCTGAAAAAATTGAAACATGGATTCTCTCCTAGCTATACACAGCTTCATCTTGTAACATGACTAATAGAGTTTTAGTTATGCAAATTGGAAACATCTATATAGAAATATTAAAGGGCAAGAACAGATTTTTGCACACACAGAATAACTGAAACATCAGTGATAAAATATTATGAGCTATTAAAAAACCAATCAAATTTACTATAGTCAGCTTTCTGTTATTTTCAATTTCCACAATACACTTATTCTACTATACCAACCCCTTTGATACTCCAGCTCTGTCATTTATTATCTTCACTTCTGTCACACTGCCATACTGAGCAAAAAACTTCTTCAGGTCATTTTCATTAGTCTAGTATGGTAAATCAAGAGGGGATAAAAAGGAAAAGTTGGTTTGCATAGTTATTCAATTAATTAATTCAATGTTTACCTTAAGACTATTAATGGATGTACTTCGGATGAAATTTGCTACAAACTAATTATAACCCTGCATATGAAGACAGAAGAATGAGCCTCAGGGCCCACTTAACTACTGCATTAATTATTCAACAGTAATTCTAGAAACTTCTCATTAAAACTTCTCATGAGTAGATTTATGCAACAATTGTCCTTTTACAGTTAAGATCAATGAAGCAGGTGTACTAGATCTGAAGTTTAGTTTCTGTTAATTACATGCTAGAGCAGTTTACAGTACAAAAAAATCACTGCCATACTTTCAGCTGTAACACAACAGAGCATATAGATATACACAAGTCCCACAAATCCCCCTAAACCACAGTGATTTAGTGGTCAAATCCATTGAATATACCATGATCCCTCTTTCTGAAGAGGTTTTAACATGAGAGTCTGCAAATATGTACAAGCACACTATATGAACTCCCCACTGTAAGTAAGAAAATGTTATTTCAATGGAGAGTGGTCTAAGTCAACTTAGAGGGAAATGCCCCCTTCCAAGTATGCAGGGAATAACTTTCTAAGCTTTGTAAAGACTCACCTAAGCTTTGTCAACACTCCTCTGCCTTCTATGAATATTGTTTTACAATGTAAGCATGTATCACAAATGATGCAGTAAGCATCACTGAGTTTTAAGTTTTGTTCTACATAGCCCTTAGCTAATGCTACACCTCACACATGGTTATATACACACACCATTCATCTATGCTCTCCTTAACTTCAAGTATACCAAGTACTATTTTACTTCTTAGTTAATGACTTGGATTGTTTGTATACAATTTAGGGAATCCTCTCCAGCACATCAAAGGTTCATGTGTCTCATCCAAGCCTGAAATTGATCGGCGCCCAAAGTACTACCCAAGGATGTAAGGGCTTGCTACATGGAACTGTGAATTTGGAAAGACAAAGGTTTATGTACAGAGCAGTGCATTGATGCAGAGTAAGAAGGAAATGCTGTTCTAAGATGCACAGTGAAATCTGCAAGCATCTGTGCAAACATAACATTTAGAAACTTATGAGAAACACATATAGGACTTGCCTTTTCCTGCTTATGATAAGACAAAGGCATTTGTCAGATTCTTTAAGGAGGTTACAGGCTTAGCATTAGCCTTTGTCAGTGACACATGGCCTGCACCACTAAAGAAAGAGCTCTTCAGACCAAGATGAAAATGTTCCCAACTCTAACTTCCCTTGCTGAATTGTTTCTCTAAATTTGAGAGACCAGGTGTTTCCTCTTGAAAACAGAAATCACTGTCATGGTGATAGACAAAATGGTAAAATCATAGAAGAGCTTGCTAGAAAGCAAACAAGTTTTTTGTGGATTAACTGTCTCCCTTTTCCACAAAAATAAAGTAAACAGCTTTTGCATCATCCCAAGTGACTTGAATAAGACCTTTGGCTTAAAAAATACCCCAAAAACCCCAACACTTTTTGCCATGAGATTGACATATAAACCCTATGAGGATAAGATCAGAAATTTAAAGCTGTATTTGGTATAAAGAACCATGCTAAATGGAAGAGCAACTAAAATGGCTACAGAGGTTTCATCCTTTCTATTTCCTCACCCCTCTGCAAAAAAACTCCATCCTCTTTATGATTACAAATGTTTAAACTGCTGTTGAAAATACAATTCCATAATAAATTTTAAAGTATCAGCAACTGAATCAAGTGAAGAGACCCTTCAAAATGACCAATAAGTATGATAATTTATAAAAATGTTGATGTTATACAGAAAAGTATTTTAACCTTTGAAACTGGGGTGAAGACAGAAGAGAGCAAGAGGGGGTCTTTCTATAGCTCCAGAAATTTGCTTACTATTGGTGCAAAAAGCTACCATGCCACTTTAATGAGGTCTAAATGTACTGAAGGTCCTGTACATCTTAAAATATGAACACCTCTATTTGAATTATCTCTGCCAAATAAAATAATAAATTCTGGAATTTCTTGCATTTGTCATGCAAAACAGTCTGAGTGAATTGTCAATTCCTGTTCCTCTTCAAATGAGTCAGTAATCAGAAGGTCTAGGAGGATTAATGCAGGGAAGATGCACTCTTGGTGGGAACAAAGCAACAGCTAACCAAGCACGTTTTGCAAAAGTCAATGGCTTAATTAATTATCTAAAGTGGGAAGAGAGAAAAAACCTTAAGCTTATCACAAATGTTAAAAGCAACTGAACAAGGTAAGAGTGGCCCAATGTCCACTGCGATTTAAAGATTTCAGGGAATACACAAAGGCACGAGCTTTCTAAGAATTAAGATCAATACTGCAAATTACTCAGAGAAGCTTACATACTTCTTTTAAAAACAAACTCTTGCCTTAAAGAAAATTACTATGGTGAGGAATATACGCACTGCAATTCTTTGTGTGAACCAGAAGTGCTAGAGGAACAAAAGCCACTGACGTTTGCCCACAGGCTATATGAAACATTGTGACAGTTTATTAAATTACACTAAGTGGCATACATAAACAAAACCTTCTACATGCATTTCTGCCATCAGCTCTGCTGATGACAAAAGCTATCTTCTATGAAAAAAGAAAACTCTGAAGAAGTGGGGTGTCAAAAGGTTCTAGCAGCTAGGTGTACAGTCAACTTTGTAGGACAGTTATGCAAATAATGACTTAAAGCTTTACTCTCTACTGTAGGCTTAGCTACTAAAGTGAAGAAGAATTGCCAACTTAAACAAATACACATGACTGTCTCTCTTTTTTCCCTGTTGATTTTTATACTGTTATAAATTAAAATTTAGTAGCAAAAAGAGGGAAGAATACCTTAAAATCAATTCCTCCAACAAAGACACGATTTGGAGTAACTGTTCCAAACCTTGGAGAACCGATCAGATTATTTAACCTCACCGGTGACACAGTGTTGGGACATGAAGGTAAAGATTCTGTTTGCATCTGATCAGAGGCCTGCTGATTGAAAGAAAACATTTTCAAAATCTTACACATTATTTATCAGTAAATGAAGCAACTCTCAACAGACAATACATACAGAATTTTTCAGAAGGCACAGAAGATGCTGAACATTAACCATGCATTTTTATTCACAACGTAGCTCAGTATTTAAACACAAGTTCAATCTTAATCAAGTCAGTAAATTGGTGAATACACTATAGTCTGAAGTCCAGTGTTTAACACACTCTTCCAAACTGAACACCAATCTTGGTTCAATTTGCAAAGCACCCTGCTGCACAAACTTCAGATTATGAATTCTATTATCTTCTCTCTACTAGAAGCCCTTATTTTCAACCTATATAGAATGGACATTTTAAACTCAATCTGCGCTCTCACACACATCTACACAACTCTATTCTCTGCAACAGCATCTGGTTAATTTTCCAAGTGCTGAGCACCCATAATTCCACCACAGGAAATCAACAAGCTCCACACCCCTCTGCAGAAGAACAACCAGATTGCTCTCGCCCCACTAAAGGAACATAACTCAATGGGATCTCATGAAAACCATTATTTGGCGAAGCCTGCCTGATGTTTTAACTTCCAGCATGCTTACACTTGTGAACTGTGAAACAATTTTATTGTAAACTCTTTTCAAAACAAAGTAGTAGTGCCTTATAACGTCAATCCTAACTGCGAAGATCATAGCTGGAAAGCAGCCACATGGTGTTGTCACTAACTTCCCCAACAGGATTATTTAATTCTTCTTTAGCTACCCAAGAGTTACTCCTACTAATTCTAAGTAATGGATTAATGGTATTATTGTGGATATTTTAAAGGCAATAAATAAAGCTTAGTTCACACAATTCCACTTTTAGAGAAGACACAAGTCTTTCCTGAATGTACTAAAACACACACACTTGGGGCAAGAGGAAAAACCTGAGGCTGTTAACCTGATCTGTTCAAGAGAATCTAGTACACATCTCTCCTACTGGGAATACTACTCTAGAGTACTAACCTGAACAAACCCCACCTCTAGTAGGCAAGGAACCAACAGAGTCACTACAGTCCCCAAGAGGATTTGTTTTTGGAGCAAAACACTCCCAAGAGACAGGACAGTTTAGAGTCTCCATCTCTCACACCAAAGACAATGCTCCAATGTACAATCATCAGTAATTGTGCTCAGCGCAAAAGCTTCTGGATTCAACTATAACAATTAACAGTTGGCAGCACAGCAAAAATGGGTTCCTTACCCCAAAGAGCCCAAATTGCATTTTCTCTGTACACGTTTTAAGAGCTGATATATTAAAATAAGCCACAAATGCAAATACCCCAATGGAAGAAACGAGGAATTAATCACACCACTTAGGAACTCACAATAATGAATACTGTAAATCACAGTGAGTTTAAAGTGTCACAAGTTAAAATTTGTATTGTGATAACCACCTCCTTATCATCAGCATGGCAATAAGAGTATCACAAAAACCAAATATGTGGCATCAGCACATCACTTGCCTAAATATTTATTTCTACTGTTTTGTAAACTTCCTTTTTACCAATTTCCCCAAATAACACAGATATATATATTCACAGATATATACAATATTTTTACAGATTACTTAGTGCGCCTGGCACCTGTTCGTTAGCAGAATCACCATATTCATTTTTACACTGAATACACGCCCAGTCAGACAACCCAACTCCACAAAGGCCTGGTGATTAGGCGCACTTATCTCCCAAAACACCTCTACTTTCCACAGCCCGTGTGCTGTCCGGTCCGAGGCAGACCCCGTCGCCGCGGCACCGTGTCCCGCACACCCGGGGCCGCCAGCGCCTTCTCCACAGCCTGAGGCCGCCACGGACAAAATGGCGGCCCCGCGCGGGCGGACGCGAGCCGCGGCGCCCCAGCGGGACGGCCCCNCAGCCCCGCGGCCCCGCCGGGCTCCTCACCGCGCCCTCGGGATCCATCGGTCCTCGCAGCCGCCTCGGCCCCCGGCACGTTCCCGGCACGCGTCGCGCTCCTCAGCTCCGCCTCGCGCCCAGCTGACGCGCGCCGGCGGGGGACGGGCCTGCAACGGGCGGGGGAAGCGCAGCCTGGCGGCGGCGGTGTTAAACGCAGCACTCGGCGCGACGGAGCGGCCCTTCCCTCACACGCCTCAGCCCGCCTTTCCCGGGGAAATCTCCCTTTCCCCAAATCCCTCTCCCCGCAGCCCCCGAGTACTTTCACGGGATGGCTGCGACGGGGCGGCCGGGCGTGCTTCTGCCCCGGCACCCCCCCGCCTCAGGGCCCCGGGGCTGCCGGTCCACCCGCGCCCCCGGAGCGGGCGGCTCGCGGCCGCTGCGGTGCCCGGAGCCGCGGCCGCTTGTGCCGATGGCCCGGCGGGTGTCGGGCGGCCCGGCTGCTCTGCCCTCCCTCCGTGGCACCGGCGGCCCCGGGGCGGGCGGGGCTGAAACAGGGGTTTTGAAACAACAGGCAGGCTGTTTGAAAACAGGCTGTGGGTCTGCGATGACCTTGAAGATAAAATTTCTGGTCTACTCAAGAGAGCTGGAAAATAACACATTAATGACCACTCCCCAAAATACTCAAAATATTCGGGTTTTTTTTCCCACCCTTACTGAACTGGAGGAGAAGGACCAATAGTAATGCTTGTGTCAAGTGTACTTCAGTGGTCATTTACTGAACAGCACTGCAACCTGCCCTCCCATTCCATGATTTCATACTGTCTGCAAATGTATTTTGCCCCTAGAATATCTCTGGTATTAAACAGGTCTGGAAAAAAGTCTTTCAAATGCCAGCCTCATAATCAATGCAGGTACGAAGGTGCAGCCTGACGAAAATCCTTTATCTGCTGACAGCAGCAGCTGGTATGCAGACAAGTGTGTGCTGAGAGAACCATGCCAGAGGGAAAACTGTTTTCAAAGTGATCAAAAATGCACAGGCCAAGTCACTGCAGCTCAACTCCGAGACTCAGTGTCAGGCTCACTACTATCATTAGTTGCTCTCATGGTTTATGTTTTTTCAGTGCTTTAAAATAAAGACTTCAAGGAAGAGTATCTTGACAGTATCTACCTTATATTTTAGTTGAATTCAAATATTTGTATTTTGCTTTATTCAAATTATACCCATCCCACCTAAATCAAACAGGTCTTCACACCATGCAAGTGTCCCTGAAGCACAGAATTGCAATCCCTGTGGGACTCTACACTGCTCCTTAATTTTTTGGTGTGGCTTCAACACCTATCACCTTCTGCAACGTTACTCTTATCACACAGAATAAAAACCCATAATCCTAGAAAAGTTTCTAATAATTCTGTGCCTGTAAGATATAACAATATAATGCTTAACTCTTACTGTTGGTTTTTGGGGATTTTTTTAGCTGAGAAAATTGTATAAAAGGCAATTTTAGCAGAGCTGATACGATTTTTTAGAAGTACTTATTTTGTGAGATTACAGAACTCTGCTGAATTGCATTCAGAATATATTCAAAATATTAAATATATTTTATGAATATTTATCAGACAGGAACAAAGCTTATCTTGAGAACAGCACTACATTTTAATGATGTGAAAGGCAGAATTGCCCAAGCCTTTCATGTGCTTCATATCTTGATGTGGGGAATTTAAAGTGAGAAAAGCTGAAAGAATAAACAAACATTCAGAGACATGAAAGTGTATTTTACATAGTTTTAATTGTTGTATCTTCTACATTATACCTCCTCCTTTAGTTAAGACACCCAAATCTGGGACATTTACATTCAAAATAAGACAGTTGTGACAAAAATGGGACTTTTGCAAATAAATGAGAAAGATTGAGCTATTTTTTACTGTGATGCTTTAAAACCTGAAAATTCAACACACCTATAAATGCAGCAAGATTAGGAATAGAGCTGGTAAAAAATACTGCCATGCATACAAGATCTGAATATCAGAACAAAGGCTGCTGGGCTGCCCTGGTACTGCATGGCTGCTTCATTAAGGGAATTGTTTCCTGGTTGAGGGAGCCACTCTCAAAGGAAGTCAGGAGTGTGACTGTATTTCTGATTCCACATGTCAGCAATGTATATAGAATGAAATGATCTCCCCTGCTCTTCTCTCCCACAAATTAAAAGGCAGTGCTGGACAGTAAAAAGGCAGTAAAATACAAGAGTCTGACTATGCTGGTTCCTGTAGGTTTTTGCCTTTTGTCCTTTTTTTAGCATCAGAGAAAGAGGTTAAGTGAGGAAAAATAAACTGAAGAAAAAGCAAGAGAGAGAAAAATAGGGAGAAAAAATTAATTGGGAGGAGAAAAAGAATTCTCCAGGCAGAAAAAGACAAGTATATTTTATGAGAAATACATGGGCCTTACAACAAATTGCCATTTCACTGATTCACTGACCTTGAAAGGACCTGCTACCTTTTTTGCTTCTATTATTTTTATCTCTGGATAACAACACTAGTTTTCCCACCAGCCTTTTAAGATCCTTTCATGGAAATATAAGCATTAATATATCCTTGTCAGAAGGTGTACCTAATGAAAGATTACTTACTTCCTGCTCTTAAGTTCATAAAAATGTCTCTTAGGATGTTACTAGAAGATTGGCTTCTTTCTCTGTTGCATACACAATTGTATTAAAAGAAAAAATAAAAATATGTATCTTGTGAAGATGTACACACTAATTTCTCTTATGAGCTTGTGACTGGATTCTCTACACTGAGCTCAAATTGAAAAACCCAAGAGCTCTTAGGTGTTCAAGGACTTGGAGGAGACCTCTCGAGGCAGTTAACAGTGCTTAGAAGCACTGATGGTGGTCACATGAGAAGTTCCTCTGTGTAAAAATTATGGTCAGTGCTATTTTTCTGCAGTGAAAAATGCAGAAGGAAGTTACTAATTTCTGGTAAGTTTTCCATTTATTCAAATGGGTGTATTTCTCTTATGTGATATTCTCATTTTGCAGGCCCTTTTCCCACATTCCCTTTCTTGGGCTGGGCACATCTCTCTTCTCTATGAGCTGTGACTTCTCACTCCCTCTCAGTTTCCACCATTCTCTCTAACCTTTGTCTCTAGCTCCTACTTTGTTTCTGGTTGCCCTAACAACACTCCTGCTCATCTCCTCTTGCCTCTGTCCCCCTAATTTAAAAACAATTACTAGATACATAGGAAAAACAAGAACTCAAAGCATTGATTTTTAAAATGGATTGCTAATCTTTTCCTATTTAACCCTGAATTTGAAGAGTTTTTTCCGTATTGTTTCAGTTAGAATCTAGCTTTATGAGATTGCTTATCTGTGTGAGTGATTACAGGATTTTTATGCTTTGTTTCTATTTTCTTTTGCTCAATTTGCAATTCACTCTTTTTTTCCTATATTTGGTAGAATAGAGGCTCAGGCCATCTGTGAGCTCTGAAATGTTTTTTTTTTTACCTTTTGCTCTCCATTCAGATCAAGGGGGTTTAAGCGTTTGGACAAATAGGTAATTTAAATTCCATTTGTTTTATTTGTAGTGGCTGATAGGAAATAATCCAGTATAAGTTTTGGCCCACACTATGGACCTTGAGATTTACAAAACAAGAGACATAATTCTTCCATTCCTCCTTAGTTTTTTCCTATCCTCCCTCAAATCACAAAACTTTGAAGAGTGCTGTGTTCAAATACGGCTCACTGAGCTTCATTGTGTGTAATATCTGCTCATAAAACCATTTCTTGGCATCTTTGAACATCAGACTTGCAGAGTATATATAAGAAAAGCTCTGCTGCCTTTTGACATCTGCATAGCCTGAAGAGTTAATTCACCTGAATCTCCCAAACCTTGCTACCAAGTCTGACTGTACATCTAAGATGAGATGAAGAGAAGGTAACTGGTTAGAATAAGAGGATTCTTCCAAACCACAAAGTAAACATGTGACTCTAAGTTTGCCCAACACATTTTATTATTGATTAATCTGTAAATCTGTGTATTTGGGAGTAAAACACTCCTGGCCTTTTGTTTGCAGAATGTGCATCAGGATTAGCACAACTGAAACAAAGATACAGTGGGAATTAGGATAGTGTGTAGATTTTAACCAACAGCTGATTGAACCCCACTCAGAAAAGACACAGATAAACAGTGGTTAATAATTTATGCATGTTATACTCCTACAGTGGCAAATTTCAGGAAAATAAGCTTACTTAGATTAGTCATTAGGCTTTTTTTTTCCACGTCCTTCTAACATGACATTAAGGTACATGAGATTTTGCAATAAATTAAATACACTTCATCCCTGATGGAAAATATTCTTAATCTTCTTAAAATCCTATTCAATTAATACCAGAGGAATTTAAGTTATTTTGAGGATTACATTGTAATCATAATCAGATTGTTTTGTTTAGTTTTTTTTTTTTGAGGTGACTTTTCCTAATGAATTGAGAGAGAGGGGCCAACTTTGCATACATGAAAACAAACTAAACATAAATGTTTTTAGCAGTTTTCAAATTAATGTAACCCTGTGCTTGGAAGTGGTATCAAGGACTAGACCACCCTGCATATAATTTTAGCTTCAGTTTAAAAAGGAAGACTTTACAGGGTATCTGCTCCCTGTTTGCATATACTACTACTTTAAATCAGTGTAGAAGCTGTCAGAAATATTGCTGAGAATTACCGGCTTGACTTTTTTCACAAGAAACCAGCTTTCTTTGACATGAGGAAAATGTGGGTATAGGTCTTTCATTGTGAGGCCAGTCAGGCACAGTGATCTAAAGACAGCAATGTACATTTAACACTTACTTGCTTCAGATGCATCTGGTTTAGCATTTTTGTTTGGATCGAGGGGCAGGTTTGAAGCAAATCTCTGGATTATCCTAATTTACTGACTTGTTTCACATCATGGAGTAGTTTCTGAGTGCAGACTGAGCTCCCAGTTGAAACCATGAGCTATTGTTCTCTTCTCCAATGTGCAGATCTTCTATCCTTGGGACTGGACCTGTACCTCCACCAGAAGTGCCAATGGAATGGATTTCAGGCTCTCATCACCACGCCCTCCCCACACAGACCCACTGCTATTGGGTTACTTGATACTTTCCCTCACATCCTTATCAGGACCCCTCAGAAAGAATTTAAAGGAATTCTTTTCTCCTGGTGGTTAGGCTACTGCATAAAACCTCAATGGTCCAGGATGCTCATGATTAACTTGTTTATGTCCAAAACTAGTTAGGCAATGAGGAAGGTTGTATGATTAACAGACAGAAGGATAGCCTAAATTCCATTCTTGATATACTGACCAAATTTTCTCAAAACTCTTTATATGATTC